CCCCAAAACCCCAAAACCCCAAAACCCCTGAATGCATAAAATTTAATATAAATTGAAAACCAAAACATTAAATTATAATGATAAATTTAATTCGTATTTCTAAAAGACTCTAAAACCAAGTGAAGAGTCGTCATCTGATGGATCTAAATCAAGGCATAAGAGGAGGTTTATCACTTTTCACAGAGGGACAGTAGTTTACCTAATCACACTCTAGAAGTTTCGGAAGCCATGATACTGTATAACATTCAGTGAGAGATATGAGCTAAGATAAGCTTTTCATCAGCAAAGCAATGGTAATATTGAATTAAATTATTATGGTAGGGATCAATTTATGGTGCTTTTATTGGTGATGCAGCTGGTGCTTTCGTTGAGTTTTAGTTACATATAAATGAAAATGAAGTTAACGAGGCAATGAAACTTAATGGTGGTGGAACTTTCAATACAGGACCTGGGCAAATAACTGATGATTCAGAAATGGCTGTTAGTCTTTTCAGAGGTTTAGGTAATTCAATAATTATTTAGAATGATTTTATAGTAAATGGCTCTGGTCTTTAGGACCTTGACTAAATAGCTTAGAATTATCTAGATTGGGCACATTCTAATCCTTTTGATATTGGAATGACTACTAGAACGGCTCTTAGCCCATTAACGTAAAACGTTGAAGGTATATACTAGCAAGTTTAAAAGCGTACCTTGTATTCTCAGAGTAATGGTACTCTAATGAGAATCACACCTTTGGCTGTCTGGGGATCTCAACTTAATTCTATTGATGATTTATACAGAGCTGTGCATTTTGAAGGATAAATGACTCATTGTGATAAAATAGTTATAGATACAGCTTTCCTTTATTGCTATGCGATTAGACTGGCTCTGAATGGAGAGTCTGACAGGAAAGTTATATTTGAAACCATCAGAGATGAAGCAAAGAAAAGGCAACTTAAATTAGTAGATGAGTGGCTAAATGAAGCTTAGAATGATTTCTTTCCAAACCCTTGCTAAAAGTAAGGGTGGCTTAAAATAGCATTTATATATGCATTCAATTTTCTCTTAAGAGGTTATGATCATTAAAGTGCTCTGAGAAAAATGATAATTGAAGGTGGAGATACTGATACTAATGCTGCTATTGTTGGAGGATTAATTGGCGCATGCTAAGGAGCACAAAATCTGAATTAAGATTAAATTCAAAAGGTTATGAGCTTACGATGCTCTAGATTAGAGGACTGTAAAATATTTAATAGTATTATGAGACCTGAAGAATATGTGCCTGGACTCTAATTAACAGATTCAAATTTGATGTAATTTTTTGGAAACCTACCAATTAGTCATTCAGTTAAATTCATGGACAATAT